TGTCTGATTCAAAATGGCTAATATCAGTCCATTTTAGCTCACTAACGCGTAGGATATCGATCTTTTTGTGTTCCATTTCATTTTTGATGACTTCCAATTTTCCTATATTCATACTTCCTGCATTCCATGTTCAATTATTAATGGATGTTTTTAGCCATTTCTTCTCACTTTGAGTCATACCACATCAGCAAATGAAGGTCCCAAAAGTTTTACTCCATCCACGACCACCTTGAGGAGGCAGCTCTTCCTCAGTTGTATCTTGAGTGCCTTTCAACCTGAGGGACTCACCTTCCGGTACTATATCAGATAATGTTTTGCTGCTATTCGTAAGGTTTTCACAGGCCAGTTTTTTCAGGAGTAGATCACCATGTCCTTCTTCCTAGTCTGTTTTAGTCTAGAAGCTCCACTGAAACCTGTCTACCATAGGTGACCCAGCTGGTATTTGAAATACCGGTGGCGTAGCTTCCAGCATCACAGCAACATGCAAGCCACCACAGCACAACAAACTGACAGACGAGTAGTAGATATATATGTGTGTGTGTGTGTGTGTGTGTGTGTGTGTGTGTGTGTGTGGAGAGAGAGAGAGATTTTCTTCAAGGAATTAATTGGCTCATGTGATTTGTGGGGTGGGTGTACTGGCAAATCCAAAATCCACAGGTCAAGTGACAGGAAACTTGAGGTGAGAGTTCTGCAGAAATATTTATTTATATTTGGAGGCAGAACAGACCCTAGGGAAACTACCTTTTTGCTCTTAAGGCCTTCAACTGATTGATTACATTACATTATGGAAAAGGGAAGTCCCTGGGTGGTGCAAATGGTTTAAACTCTCAGCTGCTAACTGAAAGGCTAGAGGTTTGAGCCCAGCAAGAAGTTCCTCAGAAGAACAGCCTGGCGATCTACTTCCAAAAAATCAGCTATTGAAAACTCTATGGAACACAATTTTACTCTGACACCCATGGGGTCGATATGCGTTGAAGTCGACTTCACAACAACTGGTCATGGGAAGGTAATCTGCTTTACTTAGGGCAAGTGATTTAATCATATGTTGCAATCGTTAAGCTCTCGGCTGCTAACCAAAAGGCTGGCAATTCGAACCCACCCAGCGGCTCCGTGGGAGAAAGACCTGGAAGTCTGCTCCTGTAAAGATTGCTGTTGTTATTTTTGTTGTTAGGTACCACTGAGTTGATTCTGACTTATAACGACCCTATGTAGAACTGAACAAAACACTGCCGAGTCCTGTGCCATCCTCACAATCGTTGCTATGTTTGAGCTCATTGTTGCAGCCACTG